GCGTGCGTGCGTGCGTGCGTGTGTGTGTGTGTACTCGTGGTGGAACACCAAACCAATGTGCCAGGATCTGGACAATAAAGATGTATCTTATCTTATCTTAGCAGTAGAAAGGCTGCAAAAATATTCTGGAGCCCAGAGGAGGGAACAAAGGGGGAAAGTGGGAAGGGGTAGAAAGTGGTGACGAAAGCAGACGATAGAACATGGTTAGAGAGCAGGAAAGAATGGGAAAGGAGAACATTTTAGATAATAAAATTTTCCGTCGCTATCAGGTTTTGAACCCGAGACCTATTGACTGGGAGTCGAACACCGTAACCTCTGGGTCACGAGAGAGCCCCTTCCCCCCCTAACTCGGTTTGAGCTCGGACAGTAATTTTTTAAAAGTTGTTTTACCTTATCATATAATATACTTTGTGTGGGTTCGGGTGAAGAGAGAGAGAGAGAGAGAGAGAGAGAGAGAGAGAGAGAGAGAGAGACAGACAGACAGACAGACAGACAGACAGACAGACAGAGAGAGACAGAGAGAGAGACAGAGAGAAGTTTACGAGGACCAGCTGATGATTAAATCAAAACGCTATAGATCTAGGTCTTTCATTATGCACACTTACACAGAGCGTGAATTCTGTCGATCGCTAAGCGGCTTTCAATTGATACAATCAATTACGTCATCACACGATCAAAGCGTCCGATTGTCTTGTTACAGCTGGCACATCCACTCTCGCTTTCCCTTCGCTTAGATCTACGATCTACTCAGCGTTGCGGCTGGCGCTTTTCTTAGTTTCAAGACGCTATCAAATCATAATGACAATGATATCGCGTCGTAAACATTCACACCGAGGCCAAAATAACGCGCACGCACGCACGCGCGCGCGCACACACACACACACACACACACATTCACACACACAAACACAAGTGCACGCGCGCACGCACGCACGTGCTCGCAGTCACTCATGACTTTTTTTTGGCGGGAGCAAACCTCTCAAACTTCCTTCGTACGTCAGTATCGCTTACTCGTTATTTAATTACAGTAGGCTACATATTTTATATGCAAAGGAAGCCACCAGATATCCGCACAAGAATCCAGTTCGCACAATAACCTGTTTTTATTTTTATTGTCTCCTGATCACTGGGTTCTTAGGCTGAGACTACAGTAGCCTGCATGTTTTGTTGCTGTTTGTTGTTGTTGTTGTTGTTGTTCTTTGTTTTTGTTTTTGTTTGTTGTAGGTTTTTTTTGGTGTTTTTTTTTTTTGGGGGGGGGGGGGGGGGGGCTGTAAGTGTTATATAAGCGTAAAGTTATATAAGCGTGCGGGACACATTAAACCTTTTCAATTTGGCAGGAATCAATTTTTTAATTTTGCCAGGGTGGCGACCGAAGCATACTCTTTATCGATGTTAAGACCACCATGGGATCTTTAACACGTGCAACTTGCACACGTGACCTCCGAGATTTTTCGCCCTTATCCGAGAAGGCTAGGTGTTTAGATCTTACCTACCCTAAGAGCAGAGGTGTGGCTGAAAGACAGCAGTACCGGTAAGAAAGAGCCAAGGAGTAGCACTAGAAAGGAAGCAGGTAGAGTCAGGAGCAAGAAGAGGGGCGGTGGCAGAAAATGGAGACGAAGCAGACGACAGAACATGGTTAGAGAGAAGGAAAGGAGCTGAAAGGAAGACAATTTTCTGTTGCTGTCAGGTTTCGAACCCGGGACCTACTGAATGAGAGGCGAACACTGTAGCCTCTAGACCATGAGCCCCCCCCCCCCCCCCGGGAGCGGGCGGGGGGGGGGGGGGGGTAACGGATACAAGGGTCCCGGACACGGGGGCGAGGAGCGAGTCCGGGCCTGTATAGAATGTCCCGAATTGTGACTTGTTAATTTGGACCAAAGAATAAGGTTAGAAGGGCGGCGCGAGGGAGGTACAGGTGGGGTGGTGGGGGTCCAAAGGAGAGCACGGGAGAAAGGGGAGGCGAGGAGGAAAGAAGCTAAACTGATCTACATGAGTGAGGGAAAGGTTTAGATGGAATGAGTTTACGGAATTTATATTGTCTTGGTGTTGGGTGTTGCCAACGCGATGGGAAGGGATGAGGCAGTTATATTATGCGCTATCGAAAGCCACTCACAAGAGACGCGGCAGATAGCGGTGAAGAGGGGTAGAAG